CAGTAAGTGGGCCTAGAGAGGCTGACTTGAGGAAGTTTTGTGCCTGGAGACGCCGTCCCGGGACCAAAGCTGCAGCTGGAGATGCCATTGGGAGTCCTAAGTTTTGCACAGAGATGCCCGTATGAGGCAGGACCTGGGCCTATCCAGGCTTCTGGGGGACAGGCAGCCACCTAGCCGAGGAAGGTTCCCATGAGGCAAAATCTTCATCTGGAAAGACACCTGTGAGGCCTGATCTTGGCCTAAGAGGCCATTGGGTGGCAGGAACTGGGTGTGTAGACACTGCTGAAAGGCAGGAACTTGGCTTGGTGGGGCCATGGTGAGGCAGATGCTGGATGTGAAGAGCCTGCTGTGAGGCAGAGGTTAGGCCTGCAGAGGCAGATGGGAGCTAGGAGCTGGGCCTGGAGAGGCTGCCGGCAAGCAGTAGCTTCACCTGGGGAGGCCGCAGGAGGCTTAAGCTGGGCCTCAAGAGCCCAGTGTGAGGCAATTGCTAAGCCTGGAGTTGCCAACTTGAGGAAGATTCCAGCCAGGAGAGCCTGTTCATGGGCAGGACCTGGGCCTGTCAAGGCTGCTGAAAGGCAGGAGCTTGGCCTCGCGGCGCTGTGGGGAAACAGATGCTGGGCCTGGAGAGTCTGCTGTGAGGCAGAGTTGGGGCCTGTAGAGGCCGATGGGAGGCAGGAGTTGGACCTGGAATGGCAGACTTGAGAAAGATGTCAGTCTGGAGAGGCCACCGAGACGCAGGAACTGGGCCTGAAGAGGCCGCCGAGAGGCATGGGCTGTGCCTAAAGTGGCTGACTTGAGAAAGTTTGGGGCCTGGACAGCCTGTCAGGGGACAGGAGCTGGGCCTGGAGAGGCCACCGTGAGTTGGGCCTAATGAGGTTAGTGTGAGGCAGGACCTGGGCCTGTTGAGGCTGCCAGGAGGCAGGTAAAAAAGTTGTTCAGGGAAGACCTCCGTGAGGCAAAGCTGGGCCTGGAGAGGCCACTGTCACTCAGGAGCTGGGCCTGGAGAGGCCACTGTCACTCAGGAGCTGGGCCTGGAGAGGCCACAGGGAGGCAAAAGCTGGGCCTGGAGAGGCCACTGTCACTCAGGAGCTGGGCCTGTCCAAGCCACCGGGAGGCTGAAAGTGGGCTTGGAGAGCTTGACTTGAGGCAGTTTCGGGCCTAAAAATGCCACCAGGAGCTAGGCAGGAGCTGAGATGAAAGAGGTTGTTGTGAGGCACATGCTGGGCCTCTAGGCACAGCTGGAAGGAAGATCCGGGGCTCGAGACGCCGACTTGTGGATACTTTGGGCCCGGAGAGGCCACCCAGAGGCAGGAGCGGGAACTACAGAGGCCACTATAAGGGAGGCAGAAGTTGGGCCTCAAGAGGCCGCTGTCAAACAGGAGCTGGGTCTTGGAAGGTGGCCGTGAAACAAAAGCCGGCCCTTGGGAGGCAGAGAGGCAGGAGCTGGGCCTCGTGAGGTTGACTTGAGAAAGTTCTGGGCCTGGAGAGAAGGCTGGGCGGCAGGAGCTGGGCCGAAAGAGGCCATTGTAATGACAAGCCTGGGCCTGTGGAGGCTGCCGTGAGGCCGCAGCCTCGACTGCAAAGACTACCATGAGGTAGGGTATGCGCCTAAATAGGCCATTGTGAGCCATGAGCTTGGCCTGTAGAGGCCGACATGGAAGAAGTTCTGGGCCTGGAGAGGCTGCCGGGAGGCAGGAGCAGAGCCAAAAGATTCAAGCACATTACCTTTAGTGGGCACTTTATTTCCATTATTACATTTAATATATAATGAAATAATTACAGAACTCACCGTAATTTAGAATTAGTACACGTGTTAAGCTTGTTTTCCTGCGACTAGATATTCCCATCTGAGTGTGATAGGAGAAAGTGACACATCATCAGTCATTATTCTCACAGGGACCATGCAACCTTCATCCCTGGCATGTGTGGTTCACAACAGGGTTCATGCTCCTAAGAGAATCTAATGCTGTTGCTGATCTGAGAGAAGGCAGAGCTCAGGCAGGAATGTGAAGCTTCCCTCACTAGACATCACTCACCTCTTGCTGTGTGGCTACTTACAGTTCCATGGCTCAGGGTTTGGGGGCCTCTGCTCAAGTACCTCCAAAAGGACCCTTCCCACACCAGTCATTATAGTGGTCAAGTGCAGCAACCACTTAGCTCCCAAAGCATGGGCCTCAGCTGGCATTTCATCACAATCAACAGTAAGTGGTAGCTTAAGTCATGATAAGGTCACTCCCCAAAATCACCAGCATCTCATTTCCCATTGGCAAGGAGCTCAGCACTGCCCCTTGGATAACCAAACCTATGCCCAATCCCATCTGCGTGGGCCTATCTCCTGGGATCCTTCCTAGCATCAACTCTGTATTAGAGCACAATCAGGAGACATAAACCACTCAAAAGTTTGAAGTGGTAAAATTTAATATAGAGAATTATTCATGATAACAGGGGACAGCATAATGAGAGACTGGCTAGCACAAAGTAAAGAGAACTCTGCAGAATACAGGACTGGCCAAGGCCAGGCATGGTGGCTCGTGCCTGAAATTCCAGCAAATTAACAGGCCAATACAGGAGGATTGCCTGAGGCCAGGAGCTAGAGACTGGCCTAGGCAACACAGCGAGACCCTGTCTCCATCCACAAAAGGAAAAACTTAGCTGGGTGTGCAGGGGTACACCTGTAGTCGCATCTACTCAGGAAGCTCAAGAGGGAGGGTAGTTTGAGCCTGGGAGGTCAAGGCTGCAGTGAGTCATGATGATGCCACTATAGTCAAGCCTGGGTGACAGAGCAAGACCCTGTCTCAAAGAACAAAATAACAAAGACAACCATTTACAGACAGAAAAATAAAGCTAATAAGCTAAGGAAAGGCATTGAAATGTGACAAATAAAGCAACATGAGGTCTTTTATCTATTTAAAATAATAAAATAATTAAAGTATAATACCATGTGCTGGGAAAGGTACAGTGAAATGGGCACTTTCTTATACTATGGGGGGTGTTTAAATTGTATATAATCCTTCCAAGGTAAAGCTCGGCAATTTTCTTAAATAACAGAGGCAGAGTCTCACCATACTGCTGGCCTCAAGCAATCCTCCTGCCTTAGCCTCCTCCCTTAGCCTTAGTGCTGGGATTATAGCTGGAAGGCACCCAAAACCTTGTCAGTATATATCAAGGGCAATGAGAATGTCCATTCACCGTGACTCAAAGTCAACTCACTTCTGGAAATACCTTGGGAGACAATTCAATCTAAACCAAAGGTCGTCTGCACAAACAGTGAACATCTGGGAGTAATTTAAGACAGGTTAAGTGAAATAAACAGTTATAAGAAATTGAACTATGGTATTTACAGGCCCCTGGTAAAAGATCAGTTAATGTTAGCTGCTAGTTTTTTGTTGTTTTGAGACAGGGTCTCACTCTGTCACCCAGGCTGGAGTGCAGAGGCCTGATTATGACTCACTGCAGTCTCAGCCTCTGTGGACTCAAGCAGCAGGGACTACAGGCACATGCCACCACACTAGGCTAACTCATGCATGTTTCAGTTAGGATAGTGACTCCCTTTGTCACTGAGGCCTGTCTCAGATTCTTGGCCTCAGGCCATCCTCCTGCCTCAGCCACCCAAAGTGTTGTGACTACCGGTGTGAGCCACCACACCTGGCCAGCTGCTTTTTTTTATTATTATTCCACTCAATTAAAAATTATTTGGCCTTAAAACTATCATTTTGAAGGCTATGGAACAATATGTGTCCTACAGCATACTTGTAAAAACATCTACAGTCAGCCCTCAGTATAAAGAGAGGATTACTTCCAGCTCCCCATCTCTGCATATACCAAAATTCATGCATACTCACATTTCACAGTCAGCCTTCTGGAACTCACATATAGGAAAAGTCGAAATATTGGTTGGTATAATGGCAAACACCTACAGTCTCAGCCATTTGGGAAGCTGAGATGGGAGGATCACTTGAACCTAGGAGGTCACGGCTGCATTCAGCTGTGATAGCACGACTGCACTCTAGCATGGACAATAGAGCAAGACCCTGTCTCAGGGGAAAAAAAAAAAAAGAAAACAATAGGTTAGAAATTGTAATGAGGCCTGTTGGGGAAAATTCCATATAAGCAAAGTATAAATTAATGAAACAAATAGTGATAAATTAGTACAATTGACTTTCTGGAGTTTCTGACAATAAAGGTAAGAAAAATGCAAAACACAGAGACAGAGCATAAAAAAAGAAATTAGGGAAGCATTCTACATGTACTGTAGGATGACCCTGGCCATGTCTGTGTAGCAGCAGTGTGTCACGATGTGACATACTTGGAGAGAAGTTATCGATGAGTAAGTTGATAAAAATGATCAGAGGAGGCCGGGTGCGGTGGCTCAAGCCTGTAATCCCAGCACTTTGGGAGGCCGAGGCGGGTGGATCACGAGGTCAAGAGATCGAGACCATCCTGGTCAACATGGTGAAACCCCGTCTCTACTAAAAATACAAAAACATTAGCTGGGCATGGTGGCACGTGCCTGTAATCCCAGCTACTCAGGAGGCTGAGGCAGGAGAATTGCCTGAACCCAGGAGGCGGAGGTTGCAGTGAGCCGAGATCGTGCCATTGCACTCCAGCCTGGGTAACAAGAGCGAAACTCGGTCTCAAAAAAAGAAACAAAAAAAACAAAAAAAAGAATTTATTCTTCTGTTTTTTACTTTTATCTTCCTGCCGTCATCCAACAGCCTTACTTTAGAAATGTTTATTTTTTTTAGAAAATTGAACAAGTGTTCGTTGTGGTGGATCATACCTCTAGGATGGGAGGTGGGGGTAGAAGGGTCACTTGAGGCCAGGAGTTTGACACCAGCCTGACCAACAAAGTGAGACCCCATGTCTATAAACAAATTTAAAAATTAACCAGGTATTATCATGTATACCTACAGTCCCAGCTACTCAGGAGACTGAGGCAGGAGAATCCTCAGCCCAGGGTTTCAAGCCTGCAGTGAGCTGTGATTGCACCACTGTTCTCCAGCCAAGGTGACAGAGCGAGACCCCATCTCCTAAAACAAAAAAGAAAGAAAGAAAATAGATCAAGTAACAAGTTATATGGGGGCTTACTCTGAATATTTCTAAACGTGAAATTCTAAAGCTTTTGGGGTCTAGCATCCCTTTACATTTTTTAACTTTATATAAGATCTCTAAGACATTTTCTTTTTTATAAATAAAGTTAAAAAATAAGAAAAAAATTTAAAAATATTTTATTCATTACATATTAATAAAACCGTTAAATGTTGATATAATACAAAATTTTAAAAATATTTATTATACATTACATATTAACTACATATAATTATACATTACATATTATGTATTATGTACATATACATTATGTATATGTACAAATACGTATATATTATGTATTATATATTACATATTAATTACATATACATTACATATTCATAACAAAATTAGCTGGGCGAGGTGGCTCATGCCTATAATCCTAGGACTTTGGGAGGCCGAGGTGGGTGGATCACCTGAGGTCAGGAGACCGAGACTAGCCCTCCAACATGGTGAAAACCTGTCTCTACTAAAAATATAAAATTAGCCAGGGGTGGTAGCAGGCACCTGTAATCGCAGCTACTTGGGAGGCTGAGGCAGAAGAATTGCTTAAACCTGGGAGGCGGAGGTTGCAGTGAGCCGAGATAATGCCATTGCACTCCAGCCTGGGTAACAAGAGTGAAACCCCATCTTAAATAATAATAATAATAAATCCATTACATCTTGATATAAGTAATACTTTTTTTTTTTTTTTGAGACAGAGTCTCACTCTTTCACAGAGGCTAGAGTGAAGCAATGCAATCTCAGCTCAGTGCGAACTCTGCCCCCTGGGTTCAGAGGATTCTCCGGCCTCAGACTCTGAAGTAGCTTGGATTACAGGCACCCACCACCATGCCCAGCTAATTTTTGTGTATTTTTAGTAGAGATGGGGTTTTGCATGTTGGCAAAGCTGCTCTCTAACCCCTGACCTCAGGTAATCCACCCACCTTGTTCTCTCAGTGTTGGGATTGCAGGCATAAGCCACCGTGCCCAGCCCAATAAATATATTTTTTGTAACACTGATTCGTCAGGCAACAACACTGGGCAGGGTCTCCTCATTCTGAGTGATAAAAACCCCACTGCACAGCTCCGGGGTTGCAAGGGCTGCAGAGCCAAAAGGCTCTGACTTGATATTTCATTATTTCATTATTTGTATTGTGAGACAAGGTCCTGCTGTCACCCAGGCAGGAGTGCAGTTGTGCACTTATAGCTCACTGCAGCCTCAACCTCATGGGCTCAAGCCATCTTCCTGCCTCAGCTCCCCAGTGCCGGTACTACGGTTGAGTGCCACCATACCTGGCTACTTTTTTTTTTTTTTTGAGACGGAGTTTCACTCTTGTTACCCAGGCTGGAGTGCAATGGTGCGATCTCAGCTCACCACAACCTCCGCCTCCTGGGTTCAGGCAATTCTCCTGCCTCAACCTCCTGAGTAGCTGGGACTACAAGTATACATCACTATGCCTAGCTATTTTCTTTTGTTAAATTTTGAAAAATATTTTGTAGAGGGGAAATCTATTCCTGTGTTGCCCAGGCTGTTCTTGAACTCCTGCCCTTAAAAGATACTCCTATCTCTGCTTCCCAAACAGCTGCTTCCCAAACAGGCATGAGCCACTGCACTGAGCCTGAAGAAATTTCTTTAATCTAACATCCCATACTTTGTAAGATTGGGAAAGGCAGTAGTGTTTTTAAAAATTACGTAATAGGCCGGGCGCGGTGGCTCATGCCTGTAATCCCAGCACTTTGGGAGGCCGAGGCGAGTGGATCACGAGGTCAAGAGATCAAGACCATCCTGGTCAACATGGTGAAACCCCGTCTCTACTAAAAAAAAGAAATAAAATACAAAAAAATTATCTGGGCACGGTGGCGCGTGCCTGTAATCCCAGCTACTGAGGAGGCTGAGGCAGGAGAATTGCCTGAGCCCGGGAGGCGGAGATTGCGGTGAGCCGAGATTGCGCCATTGCACTCCAGCCTGGGTAACAAGAGCAAAACTCTGTCTCAAAAAAAAAAAATTACCTGATAATTCAATAAAAATGAAACCCAACTTTGACTCCTGCCTTCTCTCACACCCCACATCCAGTCTGTCAGGAAATCCTGTTGACTATGTTCACCGTGTACTCAAGATCCCCACCCAGCAGCTCCCTGGCCTCCTCCCCTACTTCTCTCCTCTGACCATCTCTCACCCTGCCATCATGATCCTGGTCAGGACCACTATCATCTCCCACCTGGGTGTTGCCACAGCTTGGCCCCCATGCTTCTCCCCAAATCTTCCTACAGTCTTTCTCAACTCAGCAGCCAGAGAATGCTTTTAAATTGAGAAGCAGATTATGTCGCCTCTCTGCTCAGAACCCTCTTGCAGTTCCCATCTCAGAGTAAAAGCCAACACCGCAGCATTAACCTCCCAGGGCTTACAGGATCTGTACTGATCTCCGCCTAGCAACTCCCTGGCCTCCTCTCCAAAGTCTCTCCCTCTTTCCTGCTCCACTGGCCTCCTTCCAGAGCCTCAGACACACCTGACACTTTATTCTGTTGTTTCTGCCCACAGTGCTCTTCCCTCAGCACCTTGGCCAGCTCCTTCCCCTCCTTCAAGTCTTTGCTCAGTTTTCACTTAGGAGGCCACCCCTGACCATTCTATTTAACACTGCCACCTGTCTCCATTACCACCATTTCACTTCTTTCTTTCTCTCCTTTTTTTTTCTTTTGTTTTGGACAGAAGATCTCACTCTGTCACCAAGGCTGGAGTGGAGTGGTGCAATCACAGCTCACTGCAACCTCAAATTCCCAGGCTCAAGCAATCCTCCCACCTCAGCCTCTCTATTAGCTGAAACCTTAGGTGCATGCCATCATGCTTGGCTTATTTTTTACTTTTTAATTTAATTTAATTTCAAAATGGAGTTTCACTCTTCTTGCCCAGGCTGGAGTGCAATCGTGCAATCCCAGGTCACTGCAACCTCCACGTCATGGGTTCAAGTAATTCTCCTGCCTCAGCCTCCTAAGTAGCAGGGATTACAGGTGTGTGTCCCCATACCTGGCTAATATTTGTATTTTTTATAGAGACAGGGTTTCCCCACGTTGTCCAGGCTGATCTCAAACTCCTGAGTTTAAGCGATCCTCCCACCTTGACCTCCCAAAGCGCTGGGATCACAGGCGTGAGCCACTGCACCCAGCATGCACATCTCCTTCACTGGTTGTTTCTGAGATGTGTCCTTTACAGTGAACCAGGAATAGGAAATGAACTGACCAGATGTGGTGGCTCATATCTGTAATCCCAGCACTTTAAGTGACTGAGGTGGGAGAATTGCTTGGACCCAGGAATTTGTGGCCAGCCTGAGCAACAAAACAAGACCCTGTCTCAACCAAAAATAAAATAAATTAACCACATGTGGTGGTACAGGCGTGTGGTCTCAGTTACTAGGGAGGCTGAGGTGGGAGGACCACTTAAACCCAGGCAGTAGAGGCTGCAGTGAGCTATGACTACATACTGCGCACCAGCCTGGGCAACAAAAAGAGACCCTGTCTCTCAGAAAACAAGAAAACAGCTGTTTTTCTGAGTTCTGTAAGCTGTTCCAGGAAATGACTAAATCCACGAGGGGGGTCATGGAAACCCCTGATTTGTAACAGGTTGGTCAAAAGTTCAGGTGACAACCTAGTACTTGCCACTGGCATGTGAGGTGAGGGCAGTCTCATGGGACTGAGCCCCTAAACTGCAGGGTCTGCACCAGCTCCAGGTAGTGTCAGAACAATATTGTGGGATACCAAGTTAATATCCAGAGCACTCAAGAATTTGGTGTAGAAACTCCACACACACATTCAGTCAGAAATGTGTGACTAGAGAGAAACACAGGCTTTTTCTTTCACCTACCTGCTTAACTGCACAGGAGAAGCAATACGTGGTGCTCATGAACAGAGCAAGCATTAAAGTCACACCAGGCCCTACATCTGACTCAGTCTTAATATCCATGTGAGCTTGGTGAAAGCACTCATTATCCCCAAGTCTTTATCACTTCATTCAGAAAATGGGGCTAACTGTGGCACCTGCCTGTGATTTTGGGAGAATTCATGACATAATATGCTTGATGTTATTGCGATCATCACAGCTATTCCAAACTATTTGACATGGACAGTGATGGATGATGACATCACAAGATTAGAAATTGTAATGAGGTCTCAGACAAAATTCCATACAAGCAAATTACTGTCTCTCCAAAGTATTCCTGCCACACTTAATTCACCATTCCCTGAACAAAATGTGCCGTCTTAATTGTCCAGGCCTTCACAGAGCTGCTTTCCCTGCTGGGACCACTCCATCCCACCTCAGCCACTCCCCATGCCTCCACCTCGCCTTCCCTACCCACTCTCATACAGCTCTTCCTCATCCTCCAGAACCCGGCTGCAGCATCACCTCATCTGGAAGCTGCTCTCACCCTCCAGAAGTGCTTCCCATTGCACTTGACGCATGCACTATTATTTGATCACTTCTGAGTTATCGTCCAAGTCTTTTGTACCTGAATAACATGCTGCCCAGTCAGTCTCTTCCTGGACTCTGAAGTCTTTCATGGTAGATCCAGCTGGAAGTGACAAAAAGACATTCTTGAAAAAATAAAAGAAGGAATGACATGGACATCAATACTTAGAAGTTTTAAATGGTATGTGGAAAGCAAGCAAAACTCAAGAGCTTCTAGGAAAAACACAGGAGGGAAGGCATTACTGGGAAATATGCTAAAGAGTTAATGTTTATTTTATTTTACGTTTTTCAGAAAGAATCTTGCTCTATTGCCTTGGCTGGACTGCAGTGGTACCCTCACAGCTCACTGCAGCCTCAACCTCCAGAGCTTCAGCAATCTTCCAACCTAATTTTTATCTTATTTAAGAAACACAGTCTTACTGTTACCAAAGCTGGAGTGCAGTGGTGTGATCATAGCTTACTGCAGCCTCAGCCTCCTAGGCTCAAGTGATCCTCCAGTCACATCTCCCCAGTAGCTGGAACCACAGGTGTGCACTGCAATGTGCAGCTCATTTTACTTTTAAATTTTAGCAGACACAAAGTGCCGCTATGTTGACCAGGCTGGTGGTGATCCCCTACCCTCAAGCAGTTCTCCCACTCAGCCTTCCAAAGTGCTGGGATTACAGGTATGAGCTGCCACACCTGGCTCAGGGGGTTAATTTTTTTTTTTTTTTGAGACGGAGTTTCGCTCTTGTTACCCAGGCTGGAGTGCAATGGCGTGATCTTGGCTCACCGCAACCTCTGCCGCCCGGGTTCAGGCAATTCTCCTGCCTCAGCTTCCTGAGTAGCTGGGATTACAGGCACGCGCCACCATGCCCAGATAATTTTTTGTATTTTTAGGAGAGACAGGGTTTCACCATGTTGACCTGGATGGTCTCGATCTCTTTTTTTTTTTTTTTGAGACAGAGTTTCGCTCTTGTTACCCAGGCTGGAGTGCAATGGCGCGATCTCGGCTCACCGCAACCTCCGCCTCCTGGGTTCAGGCAATTCTCCTGCCTCAGCCTCCTGAGTGGCTGGGATTACAGGCACACGCCACCATGCCCAGCTAATTTTTTGTATTTTTAGTAGAGACAGGGTTTCACTATGTTGACCAGGATGGTCTCGATCTCTTGACCTCGTGATCCACCCGCCTCGGCCTCCCAAAGTGCTGGGATTACAGGCTTGAGCCACCGCGCCCGGCCTGGTCTCGATCTCTTGACCTCGTGATCCACCTGCCTCAGCCTCCCAAAGTACTGGGATTACAGGCTTGAGCCACTGTGCCCGGCCCAGGGGGTTAATTTTTAATGATATAAAGAGCTCAAAGCAAATATTAGAAGGAGCCTAAATGCCTACAGCAGCTGACTGGTAAATTATAATACATCCCATATAATAAAACATTATGCAACCGTGAAAAGGATTAAGATAGATCAATAGGTATTGGCACAGATGTCCATGAAATATGAAAATGACAAGTGATATCCAATTAGCCTGTATGTATCTTGAAGAATATGGCCAATTATTTCCTGAGATAAGATGGGTCTACAGAGTGAAGGAAGTTTTTCACGTCTTTATTTAACAGTATTTACTATTTTTATAATTTAATACAAGATTAAATAAATAGATCATTAAATTAGCAAAAGACACATTAACTCTATAAACAGAAAAGATATGGACAGCCCAGCCATGGTGGGTCATGCTTATAATACCAGCAGTTTGGGAGGGGGCAGTGGGAGGATCACTTGAGGCCAGGAATTCCAGACCAGCCTGGGAAACATAGCAAGACCTCATCTTTACTGAAAAAAAAAAAAAAAAAAAAAAAAAAAAAAAATTAGCCAGGCATGGTGGCATGTGCCTATAGTCCCAGTTACTGAGGTGGAAGGATCACCTAAACCCAGGAGGTCAAGGCTGCAGTGATTTGAGAGTGTACCACTGTACTCAAGCCTGGGCTACAAAGCAAAACAGGGTCTCAAAAAAAAAAAGCGGGGGGGGGGGGGTGCAATAAAGAAATAAAGCTAGCTGGGCACAGTAGCTCACACCTGTAATCCTAGCACTTTGAGAGGCTGAGTCAGGTGGATCCCTTGAGGTTGGGAGTTCGAGACAAGCCTGACCAACATGGAGAAACCCTATTTCTAGTAAAAATACGAAATTAGCCAAATTAGCCAGGTATGGTGGTGCTGGAGAAGATCAGTGCCTATGTAGATTTGCACACCACAATCAGAAAGAAAAGTCTCTTTCAGTGTTCCTCTAGCACCTCTTGACCTATGATCAAAGTGCCTTCTAAACTCAATTTAAGGCACCATATATCACAAACCAGATGGCAAGAAATTAAAGAAACTTTAGTCTTTTTCATGTCATCCAATTACATCTCGCTCAGTTCACAAACATGTTTCAGCAAATGCTGGAAGAGTTTTTCTCTCTTTAGGAGTCCTCTCTCACTTTACCCTTCTTTTTTTTTTTTTTTTTTTTTTTTTTGAGACGGAGTTTCGCCCTTGTTACCCAGGCTGGAGTGCAATGGCGCGATCTCGGCTCACCGCAACCTCCGCCTCCTGGGCTCAGGCAATTCTCCTGCCTCAGCCTCCTGAGTAGCTGGGATTACAGGCACGCGCCACCATGCCCAGCTAATTTTTTGCACTTTTAGTAGAGACGGGGTTTCACCATGTTGACCAGGATGGTCTCGATCTCTAGACCTCGTGATCCACCCGCCTCGGCCTCCCAAAGTGCTGGGATTACAGGCTTGAGCCACCGCGCCCGGCCACTTTACCCTTCTTAACAAAAGACCTCACACACCTAGAAAGAGGATGGAGACAGGCCAGCTTCAGGACATGCTGCATGGGGAGAATCTACTGTCTCAAAAAGAGAAGACCCCTCTGACAACCCCACAACAGACCAGCTACCCACAAATGCCTGAAGTAAGGAAGTCCATGAAGAAAATGAACAGCGGGAGAGATCAAGACTTCTGACCCAAAGGGCCTGCTGCTGGTCTGACCATTCATCAAAAAATCTGACTTTAAATGGAGACACATTGGACTGTGACATGCAATAAAAGAACTCAAGCAGCAGAGGGTCTTGATTTGGGTTTCCTTTCCACCCTATACAGCTCCAGCAAATGGAGGAGTGAGTGTGCCTGTGGTGCTCCTGACACATATGGGGTAGTTCCCATTCACACGGTCAACCTTTGCAGGGTCACCGTCCATCTATGCTACCTAGAACGTCCAAATAAAAGCTCCTGTCTAGAGACTGGAGAGAAAATTGTCAACCCTGAAAGCTCATGAAGTGATCCAGCCAGGGGAGAACACATGTAGGAAAGACTACAGAAGCTGATGCCAGAAGCCTAATTTCAGGTTGACCCCTACAGCTTTACAATTGTGAATAATCAACTTACTTTCTCTAGCCTTGGTTATTCTCACAACAATCATGAGAAAAGCAGACTGAATTGTATCCCAGATCAATTCCAATCTTAACATCCTGTGGCTTTATGATTAAAGAGTGATACTAATAAGGCTAAAACTGTGATTTAACCCCAATAGGAGCCTGCTGGGATTATGCTAAGCAAAACTGTTCCACACAGACAGAGCCATTCTGACCATGTTCCTCCCTACACCAGCTACTATACAGATATGCACCACTGGTATGAGAAGTCCCCTCTACAGAGGACATTGACTGATTTCAATAATAGGTTGATTTATTCATTCAATCAACAAATATTTACTGAGCACCTTCTAGGTTTTTAGGGATACAACAGAACAAAACAGACAAAATCCCTTCCCTTATGGAGTTTACATTTTAGTGAAGGACAAGGGGGAGTCAGACATCAAATAGGAAATATGAATTAAGGATATATTTTATGCAGGGCAGTGTTGGGATTCACTCAGGGTGGCTGGCAAAATATTAAGGGAAATATTAGGGAAGTTACAGATGACAATCTCAAATCTTTTGGAAAGCTGAAAAGTTTTAATGAGCCAAGCTGAATACAGCCAGTTCTTACCTTAGAACTTTAAGTCATAAGGTGAAGATTAAGATAGTAAAAGCCTCCCCAGCTAAGTCTGTTTACCCCACATTCCTGTGTCTCTACTCTGTCAAGTAAACTCTGTGCCAGATGGCCCTCTTGGGGGACGTTGAAAAAGCATTACTTGTTAATGGTGTTTATTCTGGGCCCCAGAACCACAAATTTTTATCATTCATAAAATCACTCTTTTAACCATGTTAATTATCCACAAGCATGTTGACTTAAAACCTCTGTTATTACCTCTATACTGAATAAATGCGAGAAGGAACAAGGAGTTTTAGTCAATTAGCTGCAATCACCCTCTAAAAGCAGCTGAGGACCCCCAGCCCAAATCTTACACTGTATTCTGTATGTAACAGCGTATTTCATTCATCCAATGCTGAGTCAAGATCTGCAGGACAGACTTCCACAACTAGTGATCAGTGTCACGGAGCAGCTTGGAGGCCCTTGATAAAATGACTTTTGAAACACAATCCAAAGCAGAGAGTGAGCCATACAGACACTAGGGAAGAATGTCCCAGGCAGAGGGAACAGCAAGGCTCACAGACAGGACAGGGTCAAGCCTGCCTGGCATGCTAAAGGAAACACCATGAGCTCAGTGTTTATAAAGAGGAGTAAGAACAGAAGAGCAGCAGGAAGCACAGTGAGACAGGTTGCAGGGGGCCAGATCATGCAGAAAACAAAGACACTGAAGAGTCTGAACAGAGGGGTAAACATGATCTTAATTCCACTGTAAAAGAACTGTTCCAGCTGTTGTATTGAGAGTAGACTGGCCAGGCGCAGTGGCTCACTCCTATAATCCCAACACTTTGGGAGGCCAAGGCAGGCACATCACTTAAGGACAGGAGTTCAAGACCAGCCTGGCCACTATGGTGAAACCCTGTTTCTAATAAAAAAACACCAAAAATTAGCAGGGCATGGTGGCTAATGCCTGTAATCCCAGCTACTAGGGAGGCTGAGGCAGGAGAATCTCTTGAACCCGGGAGATGGAAGTTGCAGTGAGCCTAGATTGCAGCATTGCGCTCCAGCCTTGGCGACAGAGCAAGACTCCATCTTAAAAAAAAAAAAAAAAAAAAGAGAGAGAGAAAGAGAGTAGACTGAAGGAGGTAAGCATGACGGAGATAATCGAGGTGAGGGATGATGGCAGGTGAGTCCAGGGTGGCAGCAGTAACGCATGAAGAGGGACAGAGTCTGGGATATATTCTGCAGTTGAATCGACAGGACACTGGAGGACAGGATCATCTTGGAAAATCTTGGGACTACCGTAGAATCAAATGAAGCTAAATGGCACTAAATTCCAACATCCACTGTGAAATCATGGGAACAGGGGTTTGTTCATCTCAGCCACCTAGTGTCTCGTCCAATACTCGGCACATAATGGGGATTTAAAAAGTCTTCAATTCTTGAATGAATAAGTGTGGAACTGAATATATTACAAAGCCAAAAGACCTGCAGTTTGATAGGTCATTAAGAGGTCAAAAAGCATCTGGTACTAGATACATTTTACTAACAGTGGGTCCCCAACCTTGGAGTGAATCTATTTCTTTTTTTTCTTTTTAGAGACAGAGCTTCTCTCTGTCACCCAGGCTGGCAGTGGCTCAATGTCAGCTCACTGCAACCTCTGCCTCCCAGGCTCAAGCCAATTATCATGCCTCAGCCTCCCAAGTAGCTGGGACTACAGACACTCACCACCAAGCCCGGCTAATTTTTTTTTTTTTGTATTTTAGTAGAGATGGGGTTTCACCATGTTGCCAAGGGTGGTCTCAAACTCCTAAGCTCAGACAATCCACCCACCTTGGCCTCCCAAAGTGCTAGGATTGCAGGCATGAGCCACAACGCTCAGCCTGAATCTATTTCTTTTTATTTAAAAAATACCCTTTATAAGCTGGGCGCGGTGGCTCATGCCTGTAATCCCAGCACTTTGGGAGGTGGAGGTGGGTGGATCACGAGGTCAGGAGTTCGAGACCAGCCTGGCCAAGATGGTGAAACTCTGATCCCAACTAAAAGTACAAAAATTAGCTGGGTATGGTGGCATGTGCCTGTAATCCCAGCTACTCGGGAGGCTGAGGCAGGAGAATTGCTTGAATCCGGGAGGTGGAGGTTGCAGTGAGCCGAGATCATGCCATTGCACTCCAGCCTGGGTGCCAGAGTGAGACTCCATCTCAAAAAAAAAAAAACAAAAAAAGACACAAAAAAACTCTTTCCTTTAAAACAATTTCAAGGAGATGTTAACAAGAAAAAAAGAGAAAAAAAAATCTCTTTATTTCATAGTAGTAAGCTATGAAGCTAACAAACAACCTCACATAATATAGCTGAGAATCTGAACAACCTGGCAATTTCCCTGAGACGCTGGATGTAGACACCAAATCTCATATCATCTCAGCAACTCCCATCTAAAATACAGGGATAAATGTTACACAAGTAGTAAGTTCATGTTCTTTTTTTTTTTTTTTTTGAGACGGAGTTTCGCTCTTGTTACCCAGGCTGGAGTGCAATGGCGTGATCTTGGCTCACCGCAACCTCCGCCTCCTGGGTTCAGGCAATTCTCCTGCCTCAGCCTCCTGAGTAGCTGGAATTACAGGCACGCACCACCATGCCCAGCTGATTTTTTGTATTTTTAGTAGAGATGGGGTTTCACCATGTTGACCAGGATGGTCTCGATCTCTCGACCTCGTGATCCACCCGCCTTGGCCTCCCAAAGTGCTGGGATTACAGGCTTGAGGCACCGTGCCCGGCCTAGTTCATGTTCTTATAAATAGTAACTCATTAACTAGGCATGGTGATTAACACCTGTAATCCCAACACTTTGGGAGGCCAAGGCGGGCAAATCACCTGAGGTCAGGAGTTTGAGACCAGCCTTGGCCAACATGGTGAAACGCCGTCTCTACTAAAAACACAAAAACTAGCCAGGTATGGTGGTGGGCACCTGTAGTTCTAGCCATTTGGGAGGCTGAGGCAGGAGAATCACTTGAACTCGAGTGGTGGAGGTTGCAGTGAGCCAAGATGATACCACTGCACTCCAGCCTGGGCAACACAGTGAAATTCCGCCTCAAAAATAAAATAAAATAAATAAAAATAAAAAATAAAGACATATAGAATAGAATGTCACTTACGTGAACAGGTGTTCAGGGCTGCTGTGGAGAAGTTGTAGATGAGGAGGAAAGTTGACTTGGAGACAATGGAGGCCCACTGGAGTTACTGGACGAGGAAAGGCGGGACAGAGAAAAAAGAAAAGGGTACAGGGAGTGGAAGACTGGCCTCAGTGTGGAGGGCATCTCTGACTGCTAACAAAGGCAGTGGACAATGTTGGAGGTCTGAAAACATTGCTAAAGGTTGGTGGTTTCAGAAAATCTTCTAACGTTTTCTTTACTTTAAAAGAAAACTTAACATCTCAAGGGTTTAGTATGAGTTGTTTGTTCCCAGGGATTTCAGAGTAGTTGAACCATTCAGCCACAGAAAGTAACTCCAGTGTGAACCCCATTTGAGTACTACCGTCAGACATGAGACATCAAACTCTCCTCCTGTGAGGTCAAGCAAGTCTATTCACTTGCTGCTTGGCCTCCTCTTCTGCCCACCCTCACCTCCTTTTCTGGCATCTGCTCCTCCCATGCAGGACTTCACACCCTCCTCAGAGTGAGGTGCCACCTCCCAATCTTTGAGGCTTGATCACATCCCTGGCTCCACCACATTCTCACTTGTGACAGCTACATTTCACCAAGCTGAGGATACACTGCACCTCTGGTGAGTTTAAGCAGACAACTCTGATGGCCACAAAATTCTTTTGCCGTGTGGTCTGTGACATGAATTGTTTTGTCCAAAGACAAATGCACATCCACGGGCAGGCCAAGCAAGGTTATGCTAGAAGGAGGAACCACCAAGCACCTTTAATTCCTTCCAAGATCTTTTATGAATGGGACAAAATCAAGTGCTGTTAGTGATGGCAAAAGGGGGGATTCTCCTTCTGGTGACAGCTGCTGCACTCTGGTGATGATGGCAGGCCTGGCTGCTCCAGCACCCAATTCTTGCAGTGTCTTCTATGGCACTGACATATTCTTTATATAACATAGGCTTCACATTCTCAGTTTCTGCAATCACTGTCACAACTGCCCATAAAAAAAGTGGTGACTGCACTCATCACAACCTTGAATTTGAGCTTTGTCATTAGAAATGAAGGTTTCTACAGGTTTCATCATGTTCAAACTCATCCACACTGAAGCTCTACCTCCAGGAATATTTTTCTTTCTCTATGACTTACCTTAGCAAAAAACGTGTAACTTTCAATCTTCAATTCTTCACCAATACCTTGATTCTTTGGCTAAATCAAAAGCATGATGAGGGCTGGGTGCCGTGGCTCACACCTGTAATCCCAGTACTTCAGAAAGAAGGCCAAGGCATGCAAATCACAAAGTCAGGAGTTTGAGACCAGCCTGGCCAACATAATGAAACCTTGTCTGTTCTAAAAATACAAAAATTAGCCAGGCGTGGTGTGTGCCTGTAATCCTAGCTACTCGGGAGGCTGAGGCAGGAGAACTGCTTCAACCCAGAAGGCAAAGGTTGCGGTAAGCCAAAATCATGCTACTGCATTCCAGCCTGGGTGACAAAGCAAGACTCCAACTCAAAAAAAAAAAAAAAAAAAAAAAGAGCATACTGAGGAGATCACCTCATAAATTAAATACTGAGTTTTATCTTCTCCACTGCAGGACTACTGGGCAAGGATATTTTTCTTACCCTACTACAGAATATCTCAACCACTTTCCAAGCCATAATGTATAAAAAATCTATTTGGCACGCTGACTGACCTTCACTAATTGCCCCAAGGTACTGTGAGAGCTGAAGGAGCAGTACTTTAGGATACACCCATTAACCCAACTTGAGAACATTTATTCACCTTAGTAGTCATGAAAATGATTAACTGCACCAATTTGTAAACATCTAATACACACACAAAATTCATACCTGATTCCCAACATTTTTTCAAAATGTAAAAGTTTACATTAAATGGCCATTTTATTGGTTCTTGGCTACGTAAGTTCCTAAAGTGGCAGATGGTCTACAAATTGTGGTCACTTACTCGGATAATGCACAATGGCAAACAAAAAGATGGGAATGAAAGAAAGGTATGTTTAGAGCTCTAAGAAAATAGGCCCAGCATGGTGGCTCACACCTGTAATCCCAGCACTTTGGGAGGCTAAGGCAGAAGGATCACCTGAGCCCAGGACTTTGAGACCAGCCTGGCCAATATGGGGAAACCTTGTCTCTACACAAAATATAAAACTTAGCCAGGCATGGTGTCCCACGCCTGTAATCCTTGCTACTCAGAAGCCTGAGGCTGAAGCAGGAGAACTGCTTGAACCTCGTTGCAGTGAGCCAAGATCACACCACTGCACTCCAGCCTGGGTGACAGAGTCAGCCTCTGTATCAAAAAAAGGAAGAAAGAAAAATAAAAGCTTGAGTTATGCCTACACTGCATCTGTCCATATTGATATATCAAGGAGTACCTGTATTGAGCTTCTGCAAAAGATTTTTTGGGAAGGTGAAGGAAGGAGTAGTTCTATCATTTTAAAATACTATTTTTTAAAAACTTAAAGATTAATCTGTGCTTTTAAAAAGGATTTACAACTATTTTACCTGTTGTATTTGTTCTTGGCCGAGTAACTTCAGTTGCATTATAAGAAGTTCTGATCTGTAAAAACATAGCTGATATTAGTATTATAATAAAGCATTTAGAAGAAATGTACAGGCCTTTCTCCTTTCTCACACAACTATGCGCTGCTAATTATTATTATTATTATTATTATTTTTTTTTTGAGACAGAGTCTCGCTCTTGTTACCCAGGCTGGAGTGCAATGGCACGATCTCAGCTCACCGCAACCTCCGCCTCCTGGGTTCAGGCAATTCTCCTGCCTCAGCCTCCTGAGTAGCTGGGATTACAGGCACACGCCACCACGCCCAGCTAATTTTTTGTATTTTTAGTAGAGCCGGGGTTTCACCATGTTGACAAGGATGGTCTCGATCTCTTGACCTCGTGATCCACCCGCCTCGGCCTCCCAAAGTGCTGGGATTACAGTCTTGAGCCACCGCGCCTGGCCAATTATTATTATTATTTGAGATGGACTCTCATTCTGTCTCTCAGGCTGGAGTGCAGTGGCATGATCTCAACTCACTGCAACCTCTGCCTCCCAGGTTCAAGCAATTCTCATGCCTCAGCTTCCTGAATAGCTGGGACCACAAGTGCATGCCACCACACTAGGCTAATTTTTGTATTTTTAGTAGATGCGGGGTTTTGCCAGTTGGCCAGGCTGGTCTCAAACTCCTGACCTCAGGTGATCCACCCGCCTCAGCCTCCCAAATTGCTGGGATTATAAGCATGAGCCACTGTGCCCAGCCAATTTTTAGACATTCTGCCTACATTTTACAGTGAAAAAAAAAAAATCATTTTGGTGACTTTAATTTCTAAAATAGCAATTTTCAGACATTCAGGTGAGACCACCTGTATGTCTCCAAAGTCATCCTTTTTATAAGATAAATATGAAAAAGTCACTTTTCCCCCAAACCAGCTCAATTCTATTTTTGAATCTTAAATGAACTGTCCCACAGCACAGCAAGAAGCAACTTGCTGTATCATCTTAAACCTTTCCTCTTCATTATAACTCAGCCCCAATGAGTAGCTGAGATTACAGGTGTCTGCCACCATGCCTGGCTAATTTTGGTATTTTTTTAGTAGAGACAGGGCTTAACCATGTTGGCCAGGTTGATCACAAACTCCTGACCTCACGGGATCCACCCACCTGAGCCTCCCAAAGTGCTAGGATTACAGGCATGAGCCACTGCACCCAGCCATAAATACTATCTGGAAGCAGCCTTTTGCTACTATCTGCTCATGACTGTAATAACCCTCCTCCATTGGCTGCTGCACACTAGCGCATTTCAGGCTACACTTTCAGCTGCACTGCAACCACGGGACCTTGTGAGCATGCTATTTCAAAAAGAAACAACTTTCCACAAAGAATTCACAGAATAAGAAATAAAAATAGTAAGCAGAGGCTGATTTAGATTAAAAGAGGCATAACGATCAAAGTTAGTACATGAAGACTGTCTGGATAGAGATTTAAAGCAAATTTTTTTCAGATAACGAGAAATGAGATGTTGTTCAGGTAAGAGTGAGGAAACTTGACTAAGGGCTACATATGAGCTGACACCAAAAAAATCATTGTTAATTTTGTCAGATGTGATGAGATAATGGCTGGGTAAGAAAATGTTAAGCCGGGCGCGGTGGCTCAAGCCTGTAATCCCAGCACTTTGGGAGGCCGAGGCGGGTGGATCACGAGGTCGAGAGATCGAGACCATCCTGGTCAACATGGTGAAACCCCGTCTCTACTAAAAATACAAAAAATTAGCTGGGCACGGTGGCACATGCCTGTAATCCCAGCTACTCAGGAGGCTGAGGCAGGAGAATTGCCTGAACCCAGGAGGCGGAGGTTGCGGTGAGCCGAGATCGTGCCATTGCACTCCAGCCTGGGTAACAAGAGCGAAACTCTGTCTCAAAAAAAAAAAAAAAAAAAAGAAAGAAAATGTTAATACCATTTGGGGATGCATGCTGAACAGATAAACTGACAAGATGACTACATATGCTTTACAATATTCCTGCCAAGGGAGGCAAAGGAATAGAAGAACAAAATGTGGGACAATCTTAATGATCACAGAAACTGAGGAATGGGTATTTCAGTGTTCATTGTACTATTTTCTCTACTTTTGAATAGGTATAAAAACGGTAACTTAAAAATGTTAAAAACAAACAAACAAAAAATACCAGGAGCAGTAGCTCACATCTGTAATCCCAGCACTCTGAGAGGCTGAGGCAGGTGGATCACTTGGGTCAGGTGGTCAAGACCAGCCAGGCCAACATGGTGAAGCCCTGTCTCTACCAAACACACACACACACACACACACACACACACACAAAATTAGCCAGATGTGTTGCCAGGCACCTGTAGTCCCAGCTACTCAGGAGCCTGAGGCAAGAGAATCGCTTGAACCCAGGAGGCAGAGGCTGCAGTGAGCCAAGATCATGCCACTGCACTGCAGCCTGGGCAACAGAGTGAGAATCCATCCCCCCAAAAAAAAATGTAAAAATTAATTTACTAATCTCTGCTCTGAAGCCACATCCAAACAGAACTCTAAAAACAAAGATCCAAGAAATTTGCATGGTGCTATTTATATACAGGTCTCCCATAAACCTCTGTATGTACATTTAAATATTATGCCACCTGATGGTTGGGAGCGGCTCAAAACTGGGCATGGTGTCACATGCCTGTAGCACCAGCCACTTAGGAGACTGAGGCAAGAGGAGATAACTTGAGCCCAGGAGTTCTAGTCTAGCCCACAAAACGTAACAAGACCCTGTTTCTTTAGAAAGAAAAGGGGAGCTGTCAGGGAGCTCACTGGTGAATTACTTTGGTGACATCAACAACTGCTATCAAACACTACCATAAAATCCAAAATTACATCTACTGCCAGATTTTTCTCTTTACTTCTGGACTCATTTATCCAACTGCCTCCTCCACCTCTACACCTCAACTTGAATGTCAACTAGAAACTAATTAATTACTTTGTTCTTAGATTGGCTTTCCTCTGACATCTAAAGACTTGTCTTAAATTCTTACTCTATGTTTTTAGCACCAAATCTGAACAGGTCTAGTATAGGAACTCTTTGAGATAAGAAACACATGTGTTTTTGAGAAACCACAAATGAAACAATTACCATAGCTGTAAAAAAAAAATATGCCCATAAACAAATAACAGTAAAAATCTTAGAGGTTTTCAGTAAAACTAGAGAATGATGTTAAATAAAATCATTCTGTTAAATCAACAAGAAAATATATAAACCTAATTCTAACAAACTTTCTATAAAATAAAAAAGAACCAGTTGTCAGAGTTGAGAGTAAAAAGGGGAAGTTTTACAAAGAGGTGAAGCCAATTGCAGAATGTGCTCATCACATATCATCAAGGCTGCCCAAATCACACCCACCCCCCCTTATTCCACTTAATATCACCTAAGGTCAGGAGTTCAAGACCAGCCTGGCCAACATGGAAAAATCCCATCTCTACCAATAATACAAAAATTAGCCTGGCATGGTGGCAGACAACCGTGAGGCAGGAGAACTGCTTGCAGCCAGGAGACAATGAGCCAGAATCACACCACTGCACTCTAACCTGGCAACAAGAATGAAAACTCCTTCTCAAGAAAAAGAAAACTTCCTTTGGGAAGGCCTTCTACATTCACATCTCAACATGAGACTGGACAAAAGGGTATGGGATTATCACCAGACCTTTGGCTTTTACAGCCTGACCTATAAGGACAAAAGAAAACAAGATATCATTTAAACACAATTTGTAGGTAAGAATAATTGAATCTGTATTGCTCTTTAAATTTTTTTTTTTTTTTTTTTTTTTTGAAACGAAGTTTTGCTCTTGTAGCCTGGAGCGCACTGGCGCGATCTCGACTCACTACAAGCTCCGCTTCCCAGGTTCAAGGGATTCTTCTGCCTCAGCCTCCCAAGTAGTTGGGATTACAGGTGCCTGTCACCACACCCAACTAATTTTTGTACTTTCAGTAAAGATGGGGTTTCACCATGTTGGCTAGTCTGGCCTCAAACTCTTGACCTCAGGTGATCCATCCACCTCGGCCTCCCAAAGTGTTGGGATTACAGGCCTGAGCCACTGCACCTGGCCTTCTCTTTAACTTTTGTAATTTGATCTTTACTTCTATGATTGTAATTGAGTCCAAAGAAAAATAGTATGAGTAAAATAAGAACACCCCAAATGGTAATATTCTGTTTATCAATGTCTGCTGTAAAATATCCCATTACAGGCAAGTGCAGTGTCTCACACCTATAATCTCAGCTCTTCGGGAGGCCAACACAGGTGAATCACCTGAGGTCAGGAGTTCAAGACCAGCCTCACCAACATGGAGAAATCCTGACTCTACTAAAAATACAAAAAGTAGCCAGTCATGGTAGCACATGCCTGGTAATCCCAGCAACTCAAGACACACTCTCCCTCTTACCAAGTTGGAATCCCTAGCTACTTTTCAGAAGAGCAGAGTGTGTACCCCAATCCCAGCTTAGTATGGTTCACATCTGCATTTAACTCATAAAACCTGGCTGCTCCCCATGCCCTGGAAAAAAAAAAAAAAAAGGTCTCTCTGTGGTGGGTATGGGACTGTCCCCATTCAGGAGGGACCTGCCCAGACTCAGTGAGAAGGAAGCCCAATTTCCCACCAGGTTGGCAGGGCTAGGAAAAGGAATGTGTTATAGTAGCCCCAAGACCAAAAAGAGGCAGCAGAGAGAGCAGAACAGTACTCCCATGGAACTCATGCTGCTGCCTGAGTGAGATGGGGAAAGAGTGCACCCCAGTGACATGAGGGGGCAGAAAGGTGAGGTTCCAAGCTGGCTTTTCACTTCACTTCCTGCCATGTTCCTCTGATCTCCAGGTGAGACTGCCCACTTTGGGCCTAGGGTTGCCACTGGAGCCCGTACCCAAATGCAGCCCCCCCATGGCCATGGCCCCAGGAGCGGCAGAGCAGGGAAGAGTCCTGGACAGAGGAGAGGCAGGGCAGAAAAGAGTGGGCCTCTAACTCCAGGAGGGGGGCCCTGCTCATGGGTCCGGCTTTCTGGCCTCTTCTCCCTTACTCCTGGACTGATCACCTGGGGAAGAAGTGAGGCAAGGTTTCTCACCCTCAGGTCTGAGGGGCTCAATTACCGAGCCCTTAGGGAGGTGTGAGCCCCCTGAAATGATAAAAGGTTTTGTGTGGAGAGTGTGCATATGCGTTTCTGGGAAAACGGTCCACAGCTCTCATTTTTCACAGGCTCCATATTCAAAAAAGGTTAGAATTCTTGCTACAAAGCAGTGGAAGCAGCTAGGTGAGGGGCCTGCCAAGGGTGCTCTGGAGACGACCTGGGCCCTCCTGAGCCCACTGTCCCCTAGGGAGGCTGTGCTGCTTGGTATTTGCAGAGGTAACGGGGTGGGGCATGCAGGGACTGACATTGCCCAGATGACCCACAGGCCTCAGCTGGGAGGTGAGGGGTGCATCTCCTGCAGCATCCTCCCTCCCTAGAGCCATGGTGCCAGGAGAACTGGCCCTGGTAGTAAGTGAAAAGCCTATAATTGACTCCCTCCCTGGCCACGCAGACAGTGAACCAAGGGCACTCATATCAAGTAAATGCCTTGGTCACTGTGACCAAGGTGACCAGTAGGCATTCCCAGGTGCAGGGAATCTCCTGACACCAAAATATGCACCTGGTAACCTGAGGAAAGAAAAAGGACTATCCGATGGGATGGGGCTGAGCTGGGTGTGTGGTCCTTGTGGGTCTTGGTGAGTGGGAGGGGGAGCAGCATGACCCAGGCCTCGCAGCAAAAGGACAACCAGGAGACAGTCTGGAAAAAGTGCTGGATCCACGAGGGTTCAAGGCTGGCCAGAGAGGGAGGTGGGGTAGACTGGGAAGTTCTGAGGTCTGAAGAGGGGCACTGGAAGGCAGAAACCAGTTAAGGTGCATAGTTACCTGCACCCTGGGGGCCAGGTGCATCCTTAGCCCAGAGCAGACACCAAGATTTCTGGCTCTGGGCATGACCTCAGTTTGGGGAGAAGTCCCAAGCCCCACCAGGACCACCTGCCCCTCAGACTGCTTCAGATGCTGAGCCCAAGCCAGGGGTAGGAAGTTAGACTGATGCCTAGGGCAATCGTGACAAAGTCCCTGGTTTTCCCCAGCTATGGGGCTGAAGGAGAATTATAGCCCAAACCCCCAGATGCTGGCTCTGAAACTAACACTGGGCCCTCAGTGCCCACAGGGAGATGCAATCAGCACACTTTCCAGATGGAGAAATGGGCTCAGAGCAGTCTGAACCTTAACCCATTCCCCAGACCAGGGTCCAGGCCCAGACTATTCTTTTGTCACTGTGTCCACAGGGCAGCAGGTGCTCTGGTGTACCCACCGGAGCCTGGTGACTTTCTCCAACTTTGGAAGCCCAGGAGCATGACCCACGTCCACAGATGTACCTGGCATGAGGCACGCCCAGAGGCAGATGAGTTTTGCCTCCTCCACTGGATCGTGAGAGCCTCAAAGGGGACAAGGATCTGCATGAGAAAGCCCTTGAGACGTCGCACAAAGCTGGCAGCAGACAGTGGGCAACCTGGGGCAGTTTCCCTCTGGATGGATCCACAGTGCCTGGATGGGACCTGGCTCAGACAGAGCTCAGTTCTGCAGGTCACTGAGGCATGGAGAGATCACAGCCACCAAGTGTAGAAGTCTGGATTCAAGGCCAACAGTGTGACTCCAAAGTCCCTGCCCTAGTCCCTGGACCACTCACCTCTATAAAATACTGAAAATTTCATTTTAAGCAATTTTATTTTTTTTGAGATAGAATATGGCTCTTTTGCCCAGGCTGAAATGCAATGGTGCGATCTCAGCTCACTGCAACCTCCGCCTCCGGGTTCAATCAATTCTCCTGCCTCAGCCTACTGAGTAGCTGGGGTTAAGGGCATGCATCACTACACCCAGCTAATTTTGTAATTTTAGTAGAGACGGGGTTTCTCCATGTTGGTCAGGCTGGTCTCAAACTACCGACCTCAGGTGATCCGCCCATCTCAGCCTGACAAAGTGCTGGGATTACAGGTGTGAACCACCACACCTGGCCAAGAAATCTTTATTTAAAAACACACTGGGGCCAGGCATGGTGGCTCACACCTGTAATCTAAGCACTTTGGAAGCTAAGGTGGGCAGATCACCTGAGGTCAGGAGTTCAAGACCAGCATGACCAACATGGTGAAACCCAGTCTTAAAAAAAAAAAAACTGGCCAGGCACAGTGGCTCAAGCCTGTAATCCCAGCACTTTGGGAGGGTGGATCATGAGGCCAAGAGATCGAGACTATCCTGGTCAACATGGTGAAACCCCGTCTCTACTAAAAATACAAAAAATTAGCTGGGCATGGTGGCGCGTGCCTGTAATCCCAGCTACTCAGGAGGCTGAGGCAAGAGAATTGCCTGAACCTGGGAGGCGGAGGTTGCGGTGAGCCGAGATCGCACCATTGCACTCCAGCCTGGGTAACAAGACCGAAACTCCTTCTCAAAAAAAAAAAAAAAAAAAAAAAAAGAGTTTGAGACAAGCCGGGACAACATGATGAAACCCCATCTCTACTAAAAATACAAAAAAAGAAAAAAAAGCCGGGCACGGTGGCTCAAGCCTGTAATCCCAGCACTTTGGGAGGCTGAGGTGGGCGGATCACGAGGTCGAGAGATCGAGACCATCCTGGTCAATATGGTGAAACCCCATCTCTACTAAAAATACAAAAAATGAGCTGGGCATGGTGGCACGTGCCTGTAATCCCAGCTACTCGGGAGGCTGAGGCAGGAGAATTGCCTGAACCCAGGAGGCGGAGGTTGTGGTGAGCCGAGATCGCACCATTGCACTCCAGCCTGGGTAACAAGAGCGAAACTCCGTCTCAAAAAAAAAAAAAAAAAAAAAATTAGCCATGTGTTGTGGTGGGCACCTGTAATCCCAGCTTCTCAGGAGGCTAAGGCAGGAGAATTACTTGAACCTGGGAGGGGGAGATTGCAGTGAGCAGACATTATGCCACTACACTCCAGCCTGAGCAACCACAGTGAGACTCCAACTCAAAAAAAAAAAAAAAAGACTCCATGTAAAAAAAACACGTGGTATGGCAAAGAAAACAATTACTGTGTTAAAGACAGTTTCATAGAAAATGAAAAACCACCCAAATACAATAAGCTGTCTTTTTATATGGGTATAATTGTTATTCTTATTTTACAGCTAAAGAAACAGACTCAGAGAATGTTATTTGATTGAACCATGTTGCATCTCTGGACAGTGCAGTGAGACAGACTTCGTGCATAACTCCACTTGTCTGCCAGGGCACCTCTCATAAAGGTAAGGTATGTATATTTGGCCCAGTATACAAAGGTGCTGGGGAAGCACTGGGTCAACTCTACAACAGTACTTCCAGGTTCATCAAAGGAAGTACTTCCCTTAAGGTGAAGTACTTAAGGGAAGGTGAAAATGCTTCTAGAAGGCAACTAGACACCAGCGCCCTTGCTTGTCGCCTTTGGGCTCTTCCTCTAAGGCCAAGAGTGACCTGAAATTCTTGACTGACAGTTCCAATCAACTGGAGAAAATGGTGCCAAGGTCACCAACATCAGACAGATTCACTTGAGTGCCTATCTATGTGCTTTGAAAACAAAACTGCTTTTGTAAAGGATACTGTATTTCAGAAACACATAATAATATTCACAACTAATAGCACTGTAAAAATGCTCATGTGTTGAATGCTACTTTAGAAAAAATGTTCAAATCTAGGAAAACAATTTCTGATAGAAAACTATCAATTACCTAGGTAGCTAGCTATCAAGAGACATGGTCTCATTCTATTGCTCAGGATGGAGAGTAGTGGGATGATCATAGCTCACTGCAGCCTCAAGTGATCTTCCTGCCTCAGCCTCCTAAGTAGCCGGAGTCACATGGTTACATCTGTTTTTTGTTTTTGTTTTTGTTTTTTTTGGAGAGACAGGGTTTCACTACATTTCCCAGGCTGGTCTCAAACTCTGGAGTCCGTCACCCAGGCTGCAGTGCAGTGATGCGATCTCAGCTCACATCTTGTCTCCTGGGTTCAAGCAATTCTCCTGTCTCAGCCTCCTGAGTCGCTGGGATTATAGGTATGCCCACCACACCCAGTTCATTTTTGTATTTTTTGTAGAGACCTGGTTTCACCATGTTGGCCAGGTTGGTCTCGAACTCCTGACCTCAGGTGATCTGGCCATCCCAGCCTCCCAAAGTGCTGGGATTACAGGCGTTAGCCACCAGGCTGGGCCAAGCACTTTCTTGTTATTAAATAGCCTAACCCAGGTGGGGGTAGTGGCTCATGCCTGTAATCCCAACAACTCTGAAGGCCACAGTGAGAAGATTGCTTGAACCCAGGAGTTTGAGACCTGCCTGGGCAATATAGCGAGATCCCTAATCTCTACAAAAAAATGCTAAAATTAAAAATAATAATAAAAAAATAAAAGAAAAAGAAAAGAAAAAAAAAGAAAAAAAGAAGAAAAATGCTAAAATTAGGCCAGGCATGCACCGCACCCAGCTATTTTTGGATCTTTTGCAGAGACGGGATTTCATCATGTTGCCCAGGCCAGCCTCCAACTCCCGAGTCGAAGCCATCCTCCCGCCTCGGCCTCCCAAGGTGCTGGGGACGCAGGGCCCAGCCAGCCTCCTGTTTTCTTTAAGCAGTCCGTCCCTGTTGCACACTTGGGATAATTTTTTAAATTTTTTTTAGGCAGGCTTTACCTGTCTCGCAGGCTGGAGTGCTGTGGTGGGATCATCGCTCAGTGTAGCCTTGAACCCTGGGGTTCAAGCAGCGGGGAGGCTGAGGTGGGACTGCAGACACAGGGTCGCGCCATGTTGCCCAGGATGCTCTCGAACCCCTGGCCTGAAGGGCTCCGCCCGCTTCGGCGGGCCGACATCGTTTTCTATTTCTGGCCGACATGACCACTGCGCTGGCTCGGAGTTTGTCACCTGCCCTTCTTCAGCCAGCAGCACACAGGGCCCGGCGCGAGGTCGCGGTTGCCAGGGTCGGCTCCGAGCAGGACGCCGCTCAGTGCCAGGAGCCGGACCGCGCGCCGGACGCCGCCGAAGCCCCGCCTCCGTGTCGCCGCGGAGGCGCGCCCTTGTGACGTTCGAGGCCCGCCCCTCAGGCGGAGCCAATCGGAACTGGAGGCGGGGCCGCTGGGTCTTCCCGGAGCGCGCGTGCGCGGGCGGGGGCCGCTGGCGGCCGGGCGGAATGGACGCCGAGGCCCAGCACGCTTCTCCGTGTCCGCAGGCTCCTGCCCGGCCGCCGTCCCCCGTGAGCCACAAGGAGGAGCTTTACGACTGCCTGGACTACTACTACTTGCGTGACTTCCAGGCCTGCGGGGCCGGGCGCAGCAAGGGCCGGACACGGCGCGAGCAGGCGCTGCGCACCAACCGGCCGGCGCCTGCCGGCCACGAGCGCAAGGTCCTGCAGAGGCTCCTCAACGGCCAGCGCAAGCGCCGCCAGCGCCAGCTGCAGCCCCGGCCGCGCACTCGCCTCGCCTGAGCCTGAGCCTGCACCTGGGTACGGGCCCCCCGCCACCTCCCTCAGCCCGCGCCCGGGGACCCCGGGAGCGACTCGTCCTGGGCGGGATCGGCCCCCTCGGAGGCCTCCCGGCGTTGGGGACTTGTACCCCCCAGAGTGACCTCTGACAGCCGTTACAATAGCATTAAAGCTTTTGCAGTTTTGTACGAAGGGGCTAGGAGACGACGACGATATTTTTTCTTTTTTGTAGAGTCTCGCTCTGTCAACCAGGCGAGAGCGGTGGCGTGATCTCGTCCCACTGCGACCTTCATGCTCCTGCCTCAGACTCCTAAGTAGCTGGCTTTACAGGAGCACGTCACCACGCCAGGCTAATTTTTTTTTTTTTTTTTCAGTAAAGACGGGGTTTCACCATATTGGTCAGGCCTGTCTCGAACTCCTCACCTTGTGATCCGCCCGCCTCCGTCTCCCAAAGTGCTGGGATTACAGGCGTCAGCCACCTCACCCAGCGACAACATCTTTTTGAAAATGTAGGTGATCCAGCCCGGGAGGTTGAGGTTATGGTGAGCCGTGATGGCCACTATACTCCCACCTTCGTGACAGAGCAAGACCCTGCCTCTAAAAAAAATAGGTGCAAGTGAGAGCTTTTCTTCCAGTGCTCATGCTCAGACTGAAAGAAGTAATTGGGCCCGACGCAGCGGCTCCCAGCACTTTGCGGGACCGAGGCGGGCTCAAGAGTTCCAGACTAGCTTGAGCAATATGGTGAAACCCCATCTCTACAAAAATACAAATATAAAAAAATTAGCTGAGTGTGGTGGCATGTGCTTGTAGTCCCCCCTACTTGCGGGGCTGAGGCGGGAAGATTGCTTGAGCCCAGGAGGTCAAGGCTGCAGTGAGCCCTGATCGCCTCACTGCACTCCAGCCTGGGCAACAGAGTGAGACCCTGTGTCAAAAAAAAGAAAGAATAACTGATCCGTGTTTTTGTCTGATCTCCTACAGGATACCCGAAGGACGTGTTCAAAGTATTTGCTGTGACTCCAACTGTAACTTGGTTCTAAGGAGGAGAGAATCCATGTTTGATCAACAGAACTTTTCAGCTTCACTTAAGTTTACTCCTTCAATATCTTTTCCTTACTGATTGATTGTTAATTAAGTAGTGTCCAAGTGGGTTAGCCTTCTTAGGGTTTATTAATAAAAGAGAGCAGCAAGAATGGCATTTTAACTCTTCGGGGCTTTTTTTCAGTTACCATGGTAACTCTTTTCAAGTCCACAAATGATTCGTTCTTATCTGTAAAGAAGAGGCAGGTCACAAAGATAAGTAGGGAGAGACCAAAGATAGGAATATATGTAAGATTTCTTATTTTTTTATTTTTGAGACAGAGTCTTGCTCTGTTACCAGGCGCCAGGCTGTAGTGTCTCAGCTCACTGCAACCTCCAGCTCCCAGATTCAAACGATTCTCTTGCCTCAGCCTCCCAAGCAGCTGGAATTACATGCGCCCACCACCATGCCCAGCTAATTTCCTTGTATTTTTAGTAGAGATGGGGTTTCAGCATGTTGGCCAGGCCAGGTGCGGTAGCTCACACTTGTAATCCCAGCATTTTGGGAGGCTGAGGCAGATCACCTGAAGTGAGGAGTTTGAGACCAGTCTGGCAAACATGGCAAAATTCCATCTCTACTAAAAATATAAAAATTAGCCGGGCATGGTGGTGGGCACCTGTAGTCCCAGCTGCTCGGGAGGCTGAGGCAGGAGAATCACTTGAACCTGGGAGGATGAGGTTGCAGAGAGCCGAGATCATGCCACTGTGCTCCAGCCTGGGCTACAGAGCAAGACTCCGTCTCAAAAAACAAAAAAGATTTCTACCTAAATGTCATGGACTCCTCTGACCGGGTGTGGTGGCTCAGCCTGTAATCCAAGCACTTTGGAGGCCAAGGCAGGTGGATCACCTGAGGTTGGGAGTTCAAGACCAGCCTGACCAACATGGTGAAATCCCATCTTTAAAACATATATATATATATATATATATATATATATATATATAAAATACTTGCATATCATAATGTATATTGCACAGTGTGTCACCCTCAATCAAAAGAGTCAGAATCTACTTTAAAGGGAGTTTATTCATGCACAGAGTTTAAGGAGGGCCACTTGGGAAACACAAATTCCCAAGAGTGGAAGTCAGTGTTCAAGGCTTAGAAGTTTGGGATTAGGCCGGGCGCGGTGGCTCAAGCCTGTAATCCCAGCACTTTGGGAGGCCGAGGCGGGTGGATCACGAGGTCAAGAGATCGAGACCATCCCGGTCAACATGGTGAAACCCCGTCTCTACTAAAAATACAAAAAATTAGCTGGGCATAGTGGCGCGTGCCTGTAATCCCAGCTACTCAGGAGGCTGAGGCAGGAGAATTGCCTGAACCCAGGAGGCGGAGGTTGCGGTGAGCCGAGATTGCGCCATTGCACTCCAGCCTGGGTAACAAGAGCGAAACTCCGTCTCAAAAAAAAAAAAAAAAGAAGTTTGGGATTACTTACATAGACAAAGTTTAGGGACGCGTCAGAGAATTTCAACACCTCTCTGTTTAAGGCTTAATACGTAGTTAAAATAATCTGATTAGTCCAGGTGGTTTTTCTTTCACTGTGTCATCCAGGCTGGAGTTAAGGGGCGGAATCATTAGCTCACTGCAGCCTCAACCTCCCAGGCTCCAGCAATTCTCCCCACTTGGCATCACTAGTAGCTGGGACTACAGGCGTGCACCAACATACCTGATTAATTTTTGTATTTTTTTGTAGAAATGGGGTTTCGCCACATTGCCCAGGCCTGTCTCATACTCCTGGACTTAAGCAATCTGCTCACCTCAGTTTTCCAAAATGCTAGAATCATAGGCATGAGCGAGTGCGCCCAGATGAGGTAGTCTCTTTTTGGGAAACGTATTTAACCTTCACATTGAAGATGTAAGTCATGGGCTCTTTTTTGCCGTCTAGTGTAAGTTAGGTACGGAAAAATAGAGGAGGCAGTTAGTTTATAACAAAGACGAGTGACTGGAAGGAGAAGTCTAGTCTCTGGTCTCTCACAGTCATTTACAGAATGAAAATAATAAGAATTATAATTTAAGAACCAGAAGTTACAAACATGCTGTGTGACTTGGTCAGGGTGTAACATCCTCCTTGGCGTGAGAAATAATAATTATAGAGGGTCCTGAAACATTATTTTTTTGTATAGTTGCTAGGTTCTCTGCACTATTGATCCCACAACAGTTCTTCAAGGTAGGTGCTGCTATCTTTTTTTCTTTTTGAGACAGAGTCTTGCTTTGTCATCCTGGCTAGAGTGCAATGGCATGATCTGGACTCATTGCAACCTCTGCCTCCCAGATTCAAGCAGTTCTCCAGCCTCAGCCTCCTGAGTAGCTGGGATTACAAGCACCCACTACCACACCTGGCTAATTTGTATATTTTTAGTAGAGACCACGTTTCACCATGTTGGCCAGGCTGGTCTCAAACTCCGACCTCAGATGACCCACCAACCTCAGCCTCCCAAACTTCTGGGATTATAGGCATAAGACACTGTGCCTGGCCTATATTTTAGAAAAGGGATTCTAAGGCACAGAGAGTTGAAGTACCATTCCAAAGGTGATAACAGCTAGACAGCAGACCAGGTCGCCTCCCAGGACTTTTGCTCTTGATCGCTATACTACCTTGTTGAACACAGCAGTAAATATTTCATACGTAGTTTAAACCAAAATTTTCCTGTTGGTTGTGGTAAACCATGTTTTCTTGTTTTGAGACAGGGTCTTGCTCTGTTGCCCAGGCTTCTGGTGTGCAGTGGCGCAAACACGGCTCACTGCTTCTTTTAAAAATGGAAACTTATAGACGATTTACTTCAAACTAATGATAAGAAAATGATACTGTTCTGGTTTGTTTTGTTTTTGCATTTTTTTTTTCTTTTTTGACACATGGTGTTGGTCTGTTTCTGTTGCCCAGGCTGGAGTCAGGTGGCACAATCATGGCTCACTGCAGCGTCAACCTCCTGGACTCAAGCAATCCTTCCCCCTCAGCCTCCCAAGTAGCTAGGAATGCAGGTACATGCTACCACACTTGGCTAATTTTTGTATTTTTTGTATAGACAGGGTTTCACCATGTTGCCCAGGCTGGTTTCAAACTCCTGGTCTCACCTATTCTCTACCTTGGCCTTCCAAAGTGCTGGGATTACAGGCATGATTCACTGTGCCTAGCTGATGCTCTTTTTTTAAATGCATTTTTGCCTTTTTTTTTTTTTTTTGAGGTGGAGTCTGTCTCCAGGCTGCAATGCAGTGGTGCAATCTCTGCTCACTGCAGGCTGGTCTCGAACTCCTAACCTCAGATGATCCACCCGCCTCGGCATCCCAAAGTGCTGGGATTATAGGTGTGAGCTACTGTTCCCGGCCATTTTGCTCATTTTAGGTACTAGGACTTTTTTAATTAAAAAAAATTTTTTTCAGAGAGTCTCACTCTGCCACACCAGCTGAAGTACAGTGGCACTGTCACAGCTCACTGCAGCTTCGACTTCCTGGACTCAGGTGATTCTCTCAATATAGACTCCCAAGTATCTGGGATCACAGGAGCA